ATTTCATAAAAATTATTTTAAAGGAATCCCAATCATAAATTTAAGGACTCCAAATTAGAGTTTTAAAAATAAAGTGAAAGCTTGGAAGATAATGGGACCAAAATAATGAGTTTTTAAACTCAAAACAGATTTTCACACAGAATTTGACATGTACACCGCGGTGTATACCTCTGTGCCATGTGCCGCGACGTGAGGTGCCATACTTCGCCGTGCATTGCACGAAATTTGACAGATTAGTGTTTTCATTTGACAGCACAGGGAGCAAACTTCTAACGTGTTCTAAATGTTTGTTCGACATCTGATTGAGGTGGTTTTGGTGTCTACATAGAGCTTTCTCCCAGCTCTAGCTAATAGCACTGGTTTCACACTCAAATTCATTTTCTATCAAAAGTTAGACACCAAAACCCATTTTGACACATTTTCACAAAATTTTTTAAATGGGATGTCTCAACTCAACCACACGTGCCAATAGCCTACACCAACCCTCCGACCACACTCAATAGACTCTTGAGGACTAGTGCAATACATCACACATAATCAAAAACACTTATTTTGCAAAATCGCTACTCAACCTCAATTTTCACAAAAGATAGAGGGGGAGAAAAAGTTGCACAAAATCAACCATTCATATTTCTCAAAAATACATATGTTTATACTTGCATAAGTATTTTGGCCTTATCCTCGGGTTCATAATAAAACTCACTAACCTAGGGCACAAAATACACTAGTTAATCACAAAATCATACAAGTAGTACACCAATCATGACATTTAATCTTAGTTGGCAATTACATTAACAAATACATATGAAAACAACTAAAGAGAGGTATAAAGAGGATTTACTCAACAAATCCTAAGCCTTTGTATGTTGTTCCCGACTTGGATTCGATGAGCTAATTCTTGAAAATATTGAGAATTGAGGGTGAGTACAATCACTCAATAACCAAGTTTCACTTAACCCTTACAGTTACGTATTAATTATAAATAGATGCAATTAGGCAAACAAACATACATTTCACATAGCACTAAACCACAGTTCACAAACTAATAACCATGTGACTGGGCTTGCTACAAAACACCATATCCTGCTATTTCACAAAAACATAACATAAGGTCACAAAAATAACAACCATACGCCTTCAACACGTGCTGGACCACAAAACTAACAACCATATGACTGGACTTATATACATGATCAGATGCCAACCTTATATCCTCCTATTACCTTTGACACGAAATTGGTGGCTATTACGTGGCTACGTCCTTCACGGACTAACTCAGCCTTCTACTTGTGAGGAGCTACCGGGCCAGGGTGAATTCACTCACTTATGTAATTCGGTTGCCCCAATACTAATAACCATAGGGTGTCGTACCTTTAATCTAGTCTCCTCATGAACCGGTGGAGACTAGTTAAGTTTGAGTCCCTCGTAGAACAAATGGGACAGTCTTAAATCAACCATGGGACATTGGCTACCTTCTGATTCCAATGGTCGGTGCCAAGGCTAGTTCCCGATTCCAATAGTCACTGCTAATACCACATGAATTTTAATTAATCTACTCCTCTCCTTAGGCGAACTTCAGCTAATGATTATGCTATGCACATTTCACACATAATATGCATTTCAACATTCATTACTCAACACATGAACTCGCATAACACATATACTCCACATTTTAACACATCATTTATCACAATTCTCCACTTAGTAATAAATCATAATTAATTTTATAAAATATCAATGGTGGTAGAATCAAGGTTTTCTTTCCTAGAAACCATTTCACAATCAAGTATTTACCAATACACATAATCAATTTAACTCATAAATCACATTTTAACACACAATTAACATACAACTATACAAATTAAGTTTTTTCTGGTTACCTCAAACCTTTGAGAGGTCAAAGGTTTACCCCTCACTATATCAACTTTTCAAATCTTTAAGAAGCTTGAATGGTGCCAAGATGAACTTCTTTACAATCATATTATAAGGATATCATCATGATTTAGCTCTTTAAGCTTTATCAATATAAAACTCCTCATACACTATTTTAATTAACTCATAATCACTACCCATTCACATTTGAAAGGCTCATTAAGTTCCATTAATGCTCATTATCATTAATGACACCTCAAACCTTCATTAATGCACATTAACCTCTTCTAACTACCTCATAAATGCCAATTTTTGGACATTTAATGCTCCCATGGACTAACCACTTACAAAATCATCAATGTGGTGTTTTAATACATTAAATCACTTCTATTACTCTCATTTTAACTAATAGAATCAGACCCATACTCTTATGGACCAAAAAATCTATTTTTCAACTCAAACCCTACCATAAATAATCATAAATGAGGGAGAGAAAGGAAGAAGAAGGCACCATGATCTTACCTTGAGTGTTTGGGAGCTCCAATCTATTAACAATGGGACCAAAAGTTGTGCCTTAACAAAGCCAAAACTAAGCTTTTCGTTTTCCTCCTCATTCTCTCTTCTATTTTTACGCAACTCACGAGCTAATTTATCAGATTTTTAGTTGTGCACTGTGGCGGAGGAGCAAGTTATGTTTGAATTATGTCTATGCATCGCAGCGGACCAACCACGCACTGTGGCGTGTGGCATAGAACACAACTCTTCACTTTTTCATCATTTTTCCTTGCCTGGGTGGCCCGCCATCGATTCGAACCCACTTCTAGGGCTGAAATCACAACAATTATACCAAGTTAAGCTCTATGGCCACACACCTCATTAACTCAATAACTACCCTAATTAAGTTAATAAATTAGGGTTAAAATTTTTTGGATGTTACAGAGGTGATGACGGTGAACTATGATTCTTGCACTGTCTCTTCTTCTTCACCAAATTCTCCTTTATCATCGCTACAACCTCACTTGTCGTATAGAATGAATCATTTGCATAAGAGTCTTGGTTGAGGGTGTTAGGGTAGGATCGAGAAGGAGTTTCTAAAGTTGTTCTTGATGGGAAGAGAGAGAGGAAATGAAGGGGAGAAAAGGAATAGAGAAACCATATAGCTCATCAAGGCTTATTGGATATCTTATATCAGGTTTGACGAGGATGAGGAAGATAGTTGATGATAAAGATTAGAGGAGGATGGGAGATGCATGACTTGCTGGTCCTTTGGAAACTCTGTACAATCACTTCCTTTCTCCTCCATTCCTTATTGAACTAGTTCTCTCCCTCTCTTCCTCTCCCTCTCTCACGTTCACAACCAGTTCAAGGACTTAACTTGTTAACTTTTATGTCAGTTCTAAAAGTTAATGAGAATGCTACCTCAACTCGTCCATTATGTTGTCATCTTCCTGTCTTTGAAGAATATGAAACCTTGAATGCTCCTTTATGCTATTCCTTTATATGCTATGCTACGATTTCTTTCTTCAAGGTCACTTTTAGGATGGTCATGAGAAAGAAAAGCACAGAGAAGTTCTCATGCATCCCCTACATCATTGGTCTATTAAAATATCTCCTCTTTACTAGTATGCTTAATCTTCATAGGGTTCAGTCATTGAGGAAAACGATCATGGGTTTAATCATTGAATAAGGAGAGATAGAGATGTGGAGAGAGATGAATGAAGGGGGGAGAAAGATTTTTATATTATAATATATATATATATATATATATATATATAATGGTGGGACTCACTATATAATGTTTTATAATAAAAATATTAAAAAATTTAAATGTGGGACCCACATAATAGAAAAATATACAACTTAACGTCAGGGGCACAACCAATAAATTTTTTGAGGGTTAAGGGACAAAATTGATCGCAAGTTAAATTTAAGGTCATTTGTAAGCTTTCGTGACTAGTTTAGAGATAAAATTGACCCTTAACTCATTAATATGCATAAGTAGGTACCTTACGTATAATGATGCTTCGAAGTGTGAAAGAAAGGTTGATTGCCAAAATGAGCTAGCCTACTTGTCCAAACACGTACATGAAAACAGGCTAAAATAGGCCATATTACGCGCAGGCTAGCCTTGCTTGTTTTGTGTGAAACAGGACAGGCTGTGGGCAGCCCTATGGGTCAACCTATCTCGCTTGTTGCTCAGTCTTATTTTTCATTCGCAAGAGAAAAGGTATTTTCTTTCAACTAGGAGCACTTTATAAATGTGGATAATTCAACCATGAAGAATCTCTAACTTCAATTTGTTTCCTTTTGAGGAGAATCAAGAGATCGTTCCTCTCTTCTTGGATGCTATCTTTTAATGGTTTTTTCAAATATTTAAATAATATTCTCAAATAAGAAGTTCTGATAAGCATACGAATAAAGTATGACATGATAATGATACAATTTTTAAAATTTTAGGATATGGGTGTGTGAAAAAATATATATATATATATATATATGTATATTAAAAAAATTAATTTTACACATATGAAGTATTCTGGTTCATCATATCCTTGATTGATAAATATGTGGAGTTTTGTATTTAACTTTTGTTCCTGTTTGGAGAGTCTTTGATACAGATTCTACACTCGATCATCAATTTGATTAACCTATAAAGACAAGCTTTCTGTTGTGGTTGTTAGATGGTCAAGTTTGAAATTAATTCTATCAAAGACTCTATTTTAACTGACAGCATTATAAAATTGCTAGTTAAGAACTTTTTCAATTGATATAACAGGCTTGAGTGTGCCTTGGCCAATTACTTTTGTAAAAGGAACAAAAGGTCTATTTGTCTTGTCATTTGATTTTCTTTTAAGAAGAGGAAATTTTTTCTCATGAATAAGTTAAATAAAACTAAAATCAAACAATACAAAAACTCAATAGTCAATACACACATAAAAAACTGGCCAAAAAAAAAAATACAAACATAAAAAATCCAATAGCCCATGAAACAATTACCTCGTCATTCCATACGGCCATACACATCGGTTCATCTATTACCCAATCAATAACCTAACTTCTTTCGGTTAAAAAAAAAAAAAACCTAACTTCTTGCCAAAAAAGGTTAATAACCCAACCCCTAACGGCCTAACCACCAGAAATAACAGAAAGAGAGCCGGGCACTCACGAGGGCGAAGTGGGGCACGAGTCGGAACAGAGAGGGAGAGGGAGAACCGGGCGGTCAGTCGTTGACAGGGGTCGCCGGAAATGGTGAGAGCAAACAAGCAAGTCGCCGAAAACGGCACAGGTCGCCGGAAACGGTGAAAGCAGAGTAGAAGCAAGAGCAGCGAGACGAGAGCGACGACAGAGCAAGAGCGCGCGACAACAGAAATGGTGAGTTTTGGGTTTTAAGTTCTAAAACATCTGGACCAAAAACGTAGTCTTGAGTGTCGAGCCGTGTCAACCGCATCGGCCGAAAAAAAAACAAAAGAAAAACGTCAGCGACGGGTATCCGATACGGATACGTCAGGATTCCTCTTTTACTCCCCTTTTTCGGTACAATACTATTCCCTTTTTATTAGTTCACTTTCCTAAATAATTAGTTTCCCCCAGATTTTGATTTTCTGTTGCTCCTAGTACCATCTGGTTTTGGCCGATAAATTCAAGAACATAAAGATCCAAATCATAAAGAATTTGCCTTTTAATAGCCGTCCTGAACCTGCTTGTATTAAATAAATCACGTCCAAAATCCAAATTATAAGTCTGATCAGTCAATGAATTTCCGTTGTAAAATTGGAATGGTCATTTGGTCGTCTTACCATAAATTCCTGAACCTGCTTATTGTCCTTATTGTGGCACAGGCTGTGAACCAAGCAAAATCCTGTTTACCAGCCACTGTGGAGAATCAATGCATAGATGTAGCAGAGCTGGTAAGCACAGAGATTGTTATCATGCTCTACAGTGGTACTTTACTAAATCTATGCATGACTTTCTTATCAGGTTCTATCACAATTAATTTCCTCGAGCACTATTAACCAATAATTTTTCTAATCAGCTTATTTTTGGAATTTATTAAAACATTGCCGGACTTTATAAGTAGAGCATGTGTTTATTGCTTGAAATGAAGGATGACATTAGGCAGTGTATGCTGAAATTTCTTGAGCAAGATAGATACAGATGCATTCACACAGAGAATAATGGATGCTAAAAGTGACAGCATAAAAGACCTATGTTTTTTATTAACTTTATTTTTGTATGCATGTGGCATGTAAATTTTCATAGAACTTCCCTCAACCTGTATTTAAAAATAGATTGAGGTCTAAAATGTTAAAGTATCTTGTATTGTTAATGTTATCTTGTTCATAATCAAAGCATGGTGGGAGATATGCAATTTAATGTATATCACAGTGGTAACAGGCTACTTGCTTGACTGAAATTTCCAAATGGTGATTGCTGACTGAATTATTTTGAATCATGATCATTAATTGACCTTTTCTAACTAAAAGATTGTGAATATCTGATAATTTGTTAGGATAGAAAGAGATGAAGAGAGGAGAAGAGAGATAGGTAGACAAGAAGGAGAGAACAGAGGGAAGTTTAGATGAGACGTTTCTGAATAGTGCGTTTTATTAAATGAGTTCAACAACAACACTGCCTATCTGGACTTGGTATATATAGGGTTGGACTATTAGGCTAAATAACAGTAACAGTACTGACCCATAGAAATAACATTTATACCCCTGCCCCAACTAATTCCTATAGCTCCTAATATTTTCATATCATAATCATACAGACTTGATTCTATGCTGTAGAAAATGATTTTCCCTTCATTTGGTCAATCATTTAACTATCATAATTATGGTTGAGGAACTGATCTAAGATAGGCTTGGTATGAGACTATATTTGCAGGCTCATATCTTATCATGTTTTGACTGGCTAGCCTTGTTTTAGAGATATGAACCAAATTCTAGTGCCATTTGTTAAGTCCTTAGGCTTTCTGGTTGAATTGATTCTTCAGCATGGTATCAAAGCCCTTTTGACAGGCTGACCTATAGTTTGATCCTTGCATCCTCACACTCGTAAACATATTAAGTTTCCACATAGGGTGAAAATGGGCCTGTGCTTTGCCTATGCTGCAAGCCCAAAGGAGTGAAGGAATTTCACTTAAGGGTGCTTGTATGAGAGTAGTGATAGAACTAACAACATTCTTGGGCCTTCTCACAGCCAACATTTTTTCGGGATGGTTTATAAAGTATTCTAATAGTAAAATTGTGAATTGTAACTCCTTGGTAGGTTTTTCTCTGACATTAGGCATCCCCCAATTTTAAATAGCCACTGGTTGAGAGTCATAGGCTAGGGCTTTAGCACTGTGGATGCTTCCTAGGTTTTCACTTCCCCTTTATCTGGTTTAGCATATTAGATGCTGCTATGACTAGGTCTAGAAGGAAGCTTTGATGACCAAGGAGTGATCAACGATACTTCGACTGCAGAAGAATTAATAAATTCATTGTTCAAGTGTCTCTTTTAAAACCATTTTGATCCGGTGAGATGATTTGGTACATCCTTTGTTGTGCTTACGAAGCTTTCAAATTCACAATGAATGAGATTTCCTTTTTGAACAATAATAGGTGGAGATTTGATGTTCTTGTGTGTGTCTTTAATAATGGCGTTCAACTCTTGGAGCTATTTATAGGATCCCTATGAACATTATGCTTTCTCACATTTTATCTTGAATATTCACATCTCCAAGAAATTGCTTGCAAATGATACTTTACTAATTTTTTTTTTATCACTCCCTTGTGTTTAATTTTTTGATTAAATTATAAGACCAATGTATGGCATGTTTATGTCTGATGCAAATGCAGTCTGTATCTTCTCTTCTTCTTGCCCTCGAAAAGAGAAATAACAAAATAAGAAATCCCTAGTAGCTATGCTTGTGTTCGGAGGCCAGAATTAAAACAACTGCCATCATTATAGATGTCTGTGTTGTTTGTTACCGAACATCAACAGCAACAACAACAACAACAACAAGCCTTTATCCCACTAGGTGGGGTCGGCTACATGGATTGCAAGACGCCATTGTGCTCTATCGTTTATCAAGCTTTTAGGAATATTATTAATTAAGAGATCGCGTTCAACAACTTCCAAGAGTGTTCTCTTAGGCCTTCCTCTACCTCTCTTAATCGGACTCAAAGTTATATGTTCCACTCTTCTCACTGGTGCCTCCCTTGGTCTTCGTTGTACATGCCCAAACCATCTCAACCGATTTTCTACCATTTTTTCCTCAATAGGTGCCACCCTCACTTTTTCGCGTATGTACTCATTTTGAATTTTATCTTTACGTGTATGTCCGCACATCCATCGTAACAGTCTCATCTCTGCTACTCCAACTTTATGCTCTTACTGTCCCGTTAGAGCCCAGCATTCACTACTATATAACATTGCCGGTCTGATAGCAGTGCGATAAAACTTTACTTTAAGTTTATTAGGCACCTTACGGTCACAAATAACTCCTTTAGCTTTTCTCTAATTAAACCACCCAGCTTGAATTCTATGTGAAATATCTCCACTGATTTCGCCATCATTTTGAATAATGGCTCCCAAATATCTAAACTTTTCTACTTGAGGTATAATTTGATCTCCCAATTTCACTTCCAAATTATTGTCGAATAGTCCTTTACCAAATTTACAATATAAATATTCCGTCTTACTTCTACTTAGACGAAAACCTTTCGACTCCAATGTCCTCCTCCATAACTCAAGTTTGCAATTAACCTCTTCTCTTGTCTCTGCTATAAGAACTATATCATCCGCAAAGAGCATACATTTCGGGATTTCCTCTTGAATATGTTCCGTCAAAACATTTAAAATCAAGTTGAACAAATAAGGACTCAGAGATGATCCCTGATGTAGTCCAATCTTTATAGGAAAATCCTTTGTTTGACCACTAGGCGTTCTTATACTAGTTTTTACCCCCTCGTACATATCTTGTATGGCTTTAATATAAGCAATCCGTACTCCCTTTTTTTCCAACGCTTTCCAAAGCACTTCTCTTGGTATACGGTCATAAGCTTTTTCCAAATCAATAAAAACCATGTGTAGATCTTTATCTTTACAACGATACTTTTCCATTAATCCCCTTAGTAGATAAATCGCCTCTGTAGTTGATCTACCTGGCATAAAACTAAATTGATTCTCAGAAATACTTGTCTCCAATCTCAACCTGTGCTCAATTACTTTCTCCCACAATTTCATTGTGTGGCTCATGAGTTTAATCCCTCTATAGTTAGTACAATTCTGAATATCTCCTTTATTTTTATAAATAGGAATTAATATACTTCTCCTCCACTCATCAGGCATTTTCTTGGACTGTAAAATCACATTAAATAACTTAGTTAACCATCTCACCCCTTCTTCACCTAAACATTTCCACGCTTCGATAGATATACAATCAAGTCCGTTAGCTCTACCATTTGCCATTTTCTTAAGAGCTTCCTTTACCTCCTTATCACGTATTATTCGATAGAATGACAAATTTTGTTCTCCTTCACCAGTTACTAAATCCTCCAAGTTACTAGATGAATCCTCTCCATCATTGAAGAGTTTAGAAAAGTAAGTCTCCCATCTATTTTTAATTTCATCATCTGTAACTAAAATTCTTCCCTCTTCATCCTTAATACACCTTACCTGTTCTAGATCTCTTGATTTTCTTTCCCTACTCTTGGCAATCTTATAAATATTTTGCTCTCCTTCCTTCGTTTCAAGGTTCTTATAAAATTCTTCAAAAGCTTTAGAACGAGCTTCACCCACAGCTCTTTTAGTTTCTTTCTTAGCCATACGGTACCTCTCTCAATTTTCCTCATTGTTACACAAATGTATGGCTTTAAAACAGTTCTTCTTATACTTGATTTTGTCCTGTACACTATTATTCCACCACCAAGACTCCTTATCTCTCGGACTAGAACCTTTTGATTCTCCCAAAACTACTTTTGCAACCTCCCGGATCTTTTTAGCCATATCCTCCCATATGATGTTAGCACTTCCCTGAGATTCCCAAATTCCTTTATCCAAAAGATTTCGCTTGAAAATATCTTGCTTCTCACCTTTTAATTGCCACCACCTAATCCTTGGTGTTACTACTTGTCGACGTTTTTGGATTTTACTCATAATACACACATCAAGGACTAGGACCCTATGTTGTGTCGTTACAGCATCTCCGGGGATCACCTTACAATTTTTACAAAGTCTTCTATCTGTGTTCCTAACCAAAAGAAAATCAATCTGTGACCTTGAGGCTCCACTTTTATAAGTGATGAGATGCTCATCTCTCTTCTTGAAACAAGTGTTGGCAATCTTAAAATCATACGCCAATGAGAAATCAAGAAGAGTTTGTCCTTCATTGTTTAGCTCTCCAAAACCAAAACCACCATGCACCCTCGCATACTGACCAGCTTCCCTCCCGACATGCCCATTAAAGCTCTTCATTGTTACTGAACATCAATGAAATTAATATAGGAATGCTGTTGTTGTTGTAGATCTTATTTTAGATTTAGTCATCTATTTCGCTGTCTGGTTATCTGTCTCTATTTAACTATTTCCTTGACTCCACTTCTCATTCATTTGATAAGCTTCACCAAATTGTTGTCTTTTGGATACAAATTTCTTTTGTGGTCTGTTCTAAAATTTGGTGGTTGTATGGGTTCTTTCTATGGCAAGCTTTAAGTATTTATTGGATTGTGAACTCATTGATACAAGACACCAGCCAAGAATATTATTTAACTTTATTTTCATATCTCAAGACTGGAAGTATCATTCTAATAATTCTGCTATTGATTCCATCGTGATTATGAGGCACACTAGATTGTTTATAGCTATCTTACACCATGTTGGTGAAGCTCTTCAGATATAATATCATTGAGTTAAACCTTATATTGAGATGTAGTTAGAGATCATTGTGGCTTTGCTGAAGTAAGACTTCTTTGTTTAAATCATCATTTCTTTAATTTTAACAATTTCTTAAGATGCAATTGTGATTTACTGATGGACACTTAGGTGAGCAGGAAAGTCTCTCCCAAAAGCTAGTTATTGAGGTGGAAGAGCCAACTTGCTTAAGTATCCCATAAAACATCCCATAATACAAAATCTAGGACACTTAGGTGGGCAGGAAAGTCTCTTTGTTAGATATCATTATGGCTTTGCTGAAGTAAGACTTCTTTGTTTAAATCATCATTTCTTTAATTTTAACAATCTCTTAAGATGCAATTGTGATTTACTGATGGACACTTAGGTGGGCAGGAAAGTCTCTCCCAAAAGTTAGTTATTGAGGTGGAAGAGCCAACTTGCTTAAGTATCCCATAAAACATCCCATAATACAAAATCTAGGACTACTGCATCCCATATTACCTTGGCTTCCATGAGTTGATCACCCTTGAAGAGCAGCCGTCTCAACTACTACACTTTGCAATTACTTCACTCAAGTTCCTTGTTGGTCAGAACCCTTTGCTGGGAGCCCTATCTAGAGTTGCTGACTGTTTACTCTAATACCAATTGATGGGCACTCTAGTAGTGTGAGAGCCCTCCCTTAAAAGATATCTATTGAGGTGAACTAATCTAACATCTCATCTCAATGTGGAACTTAAATTTTCCATACTAGATTTGTTTCCATCATTACCAAAGCCTTTTGAGTTGAAATGTGATTGATATCTTGTCTCATAAAAAAATTATGACCTTGTTGAGTGTTGAATTTTGTTATAGGCATTTATCTTTGAGTCTACTCTGTATCACCTCCCCCTTAGTTATTGATAGCACTAATTTCAACCTAGGTGATACAGTTCTTGTCACTGTGTCATATGTGCAGCATTGCAACTTTCTTGTAGATCTGCTATATTTATGCTATTGAAGATATTTTTACGTGGATGTAGTTCATGCCACGATTGCTACAATTAAATGGGGCAACAGCTATTCTATATACTCAACCCATCCTTGCACAATTAAAATTGAATTCTTGTGATACCATGACCCCATCTCTCTAAAGAGATTGATGGTAGCAATGGTGTTAATTTGCAAGGTGGAAAAAGAGCTAAACAGTCAAGCTCTTGATAAGGATGATGAACAAAGAAACTCCTGGAAAGAAGAGAGGAAATTGAGGGATGCGTGGTGATCATTAAGAGGATTTTTTCCCCCTTTTGATGGCTAAGTCATTGAGAGGATATTTTATTCGATGAAAAATAGGAATTGGTTTAGACATACTGGTATCTTAGTTAAAGCATAGACCCAAGCTTTGTTGAACAGTGATTGTTTTAAGTACTCGATATTGTTATTGATAAATTATTATTATGTCAATATGTTCTTTTTTAGTCATTTATTCATTACGTAATTCTGTTTTGATTTTTATTAAACCCGGTTTGCTACGTTTTCATGTTGCTCGTGCAACAATTTATTTTATGCATCTTTTAGCATTCTGTGGAACCCTTTGTGTTAGAAGTGTGTATCACAGGAGTAATAAATACCCCCCCCCCAGCGGGCCAAAACAAACACCCCCCCCCCAAAAAAAAAAAAACCATAAGTCCTGAATTGTCTAGGTTTGCAACTTTGCATGTAAACTATTCAACTTAAGTTCTACTATTTTCTTAAATATAAGATCACATAGATCAGTTTCTGTTTCATAGTATTATATGTGCTTATTTGATATCGAAATCCCTGGATGCTTGAGCACAAGTTCATTGATTTTTACATCATAACGATGGGTACTAGAACTTGATCATTTTGCTCTCTGTTTTCTTAAACCATCCGTTCATAGTTTGACCCTTGTCTATCAAACAAGTAACTTCATGCCTATATTGGATAATTTATTCACGAGAAATATGAGAACTTTAGTCTATCATTCACTGAGAGGAAGCTGAGGAATATCTCTAATTTTATAGAGCATTAAGATACACTAATGGTGTTACTTCCTCCATTTTTTTATTACACTATACTTCTCATGGCTAATCCTGCTTCACCTCATTACAAATTGTGCAAGAATAGGACTGATAAAGGTCCTTTAAAACCTCCTGCTGTTTATCACCCTGTCTTTCATTGCATTTTGATCCCTGTTACTTCAAATTTTTTTGCCTGCTTCTTCAATATTGTTTTTGCACATCTTTTAGCTATTCAAAGAAATGGTATATGCCTTGGTGATTTTTTTCCCAGAAAAAAAAAAGGAATATGTAATGGTAATTTCATGACTTGCAGGAAGATTTTTTCATTGACCTGTCGTAACATCTCATTCTGGAAGATGAACCAACAAAATCAAGGAGCAGGCTCTTCAAATCCATCAAGTGTTCCAGCAAAACGGAAACGTGGGCGGCCCCGCAAAGAAGGAAGCATAGTTCAGGTAGACAGCACGCCTGTAAGACATGGCTCTGACAATTTTATCAACCCCAACCAAACAGCAGGCACAACTGGCAGTTCTGATGCCCAAATGATAGGGAAGGTGGTTACTGGTGTCATCGAGGGTAGTTTTAGTGCTGGGTATCTCCTTAATGTTCGGATAGGAGACTCTCCAACCTATTTGCGAGGTGTCATATTTCAACCAGGGCAATATGTTCCTGTCACTCCTGAAAATGATGTGGCTCCTCATCTTGAAATGATTCAAAGGAAGGATTTTCCAATTCCAGTTCTTAATCCACAGGCTCAGACGCAAAGTTCTATTCCCTCATCAGGACAAGGTAGCAAACAACCTGTTGAGCCAAAACCACCTCTGGTGTCTCTCTCTAAAGACCAAGTTCTTCCTACCGAGACACATCCTGGAGCCTCAGTTTCTCCTGGGAATCAATCTGCATCTGTTCTAGTACCTATGACTAACATTCCAACAAGTGACTCATCCATTCCTGCTGGAGGAATACCAGAGACTTTATCAGATCTTGGGCATGGGAGTCAATCTGCATCTATCATGAGGATGGAGTGTGACAAAATTTTTGAACAGGATATAAACAAACTTGATACATCCAGACAGGTTAAAGAACCCGGTGCACTTGGGGTAACAGAAAAGGATCCAAAGCCAACAGCTGAAGACACAAACTCGGTTCCAATGACTGAAAGCATTGACAAGGAGCTTCAAACTGGACAGAACACCGGAAACTCTCTCCAGCTGAATGTACAGATGCGGGATGAACCAATGATTTCAAATGTTGAACTCAACCAAATGCCTGCACATGCTGGACATGAGCCCATACAATGTGAACAGATTCCGGATGAACCCAAGAACTCAAATATTGAAGTCAGCCAAATGCCAGTATCTGCTGGACCTGAGCCCATGCAAAGTGAACAGATTCAGGATGAACCGATAAACTCAAATATTGAATTCAAACAACTTCCTGTAGCTGCTGAACCTGAAGCAATGCAAGTTGAACAGATTCATGAGGAACCAAGGAACTCAAATATGGAACTCAACGAAATGCCTGTATCTACTGAAACTGAATCTATCCAGACTGAACAGATTCATGAACTAAACAACCCGAGTATCCAACTAAACCGAATGCCTGTATCTGCTGATCCTGAAAATGTTCAGTCTGTTGACAAGCTTGAGGACAAACCTGACTCTCCAAAGCCTGCACTTGAGACCAGCCACCCTTCTACAGTATTCGGAGGAGATGCTGTCCCTTCTGAGTCCAGGTTTGCCTCTGAAGGATCCAATTTTCCAGAGACGAGTGATCCCCGGAACCCTGGTCCTGCAGCTGAGATTACTAAGGAAGACGACATTCAACCTTCAGGTGAGAATACTAAGGAAGACGACATTCAAACTACTGAGTCAGTGGAACCTGAAAACCCCATTGGCCCAGACAATCTCTGAAAACTGTTGCTAAAAAGATCAAAGACAGTTGGCATTGGAAGAAAAAATGTTTGAGCTCGGAATAAATCACTGATGCTAGTCTTGTATTCTGACAGTGTTAGTGGAATGGAGTAGGCAGGTAGCTTTCGTTTAAAAGTTAGTGTCAATTCTTTTGTTCCGTTGGCTTATAATTTGGTTTACTTTAGTTTTGACTTCAGTATTGGTATATTTGTGTTTTTTTCCTTCCCCGTTGAAGTTTGATATTTCTCGTTGTTTTTCTTTTTAGAGGAGAACGTACAATGTTTTGGATCAATGGCTAATCTATAGATATGATGGGAGTGACGACAGCTGAGATATGCATTGCTCCAGAAGTTGGATGATATTTTCATAGTACCTCACTCGTACATAATTTATAAGGAACGTCAGAGTGTCGATAAAAATTTATGGAAGTTCATTAGCAGATAAAAGATTATTTTTCCAAAACTTTAATTACTCAATTTTGAAATTATAAAATAAAGAGACCGAAAATAAACAAGTAAATTATAAGGATAAAATATTTGTCAAGTAATAAATCATGGAAGTGGCTCTTTGTAACAATACATGGAAAGTTTGGTAGCAAATTTGGTAGTTAAAACTAAGAAAACAGCACTAGGTTGGTGACCCACTGAGGAATGTTGGAGATCGTGCCTCCCTTCTGTTGTTAGGGAACCAGGCAGACCGATCCAAGCTGACACTTCTAGTCTGTTAAAGAAATATTTAGTTGAGACTATTTTGTCATAATGCATGGTTGGACTAGTTTTGCACGGAATCTGAACTTGAAAAATTGACGCAGATCTGTTATACTAAAACTCGTTGACAAGCCGCAAGGACAGCAGTCAGGTAGCAACAAAATCGAGATGAACTCAGCTGATGAACGTTCCCAGAAGCTCAGTGCAGAAGAGTTGTTCGCTTGTAATTTAACCGCCTAAATGAAATTGTTCCCTTTGAGAGAACTTTGAACAGATTTTTATCTGATAGGCGTCGCTGATTTCAGCCGGTAGGCACAAGAGATAATTAAGAATTGGAACCAGATGACTACACAACATCACAAAAATCTAAAATTTCGATGGTATTATCACCACTTTGGGTCCTCGCGAAAAACTACCTTTTTTTCTGATTACAAACACGTTCTGCCAAATCCATTTACTGCTTCATACACAAAACTTAGCTATGCGAGCATGCATCACGTTCGCTCAAATGTGACATGGACAAACGTTTTGGAAACACATCAAAGGTTCCAAATGCGCAATATATCAATGTTCAACGACACAAGGCAAGCAAAGCAAAGCACATCAAAGTAGCAAAAATTAACATCCAAGCTTAAGTAGAATCCTGGCAAGTAAATCCACGCATTAATTTGCTCCCCTGAACACAATTTACGGTAACTTCCCTCTTCAATAAGCATGCTGATTACTTCAGCAGTCACTGAAAACAGCAATTACTTTCGAACTCAATTCCATACTCATTTTGTATGGTAACATTTTCGCTTCTAAATGATCAACATTCAAGAGTAGAGTTCACCATCAAGTCAAACTTTACCTTTTCCTATATCCAAGAAACCCACATGACATGCTGCATTGTTATACGCAGAAGCTACTAGGCTAGAAAGGCATCAAATAAAGCATCGTTATTAGAACATCTGGAGGTTATCAAGTAATTTTCGCTCGATACAACAGGAGATCACATTAATTCTACTAACAAGCAAAGGAGCTAAAGAGATAAGTTGGTTTTACACCAAGAGACGCTAAAAAAGACAGGCAACAGCAACAACTCCTCACGATTACAAGAGAGAATCGAGGTAAATGAGAAGGGGGAAAAAGAAGAGGGGGGGAGGGTTCTCAAATCTCAACTGTACCCTAGCTGCTGCTGCTGCTGCTGTGGTGGTTGGTAATTGGAGTACCCAGGATAGTTTCCATACATGTTGGGATCCTGTGCAGTAGCTGGAGCATATCCATAGTTCTCATACCCCTGAGTATATCCGTAATACCCAGCAGCTCCATTCCACTGGTTTTGATCTGGCTGAGTCTGAAGATTTATGCGTTGGTCAGAATCAGATAGGCTTTTATGCCAAGGCGGTGCAGAATAATGAAAGATATTTCGTTACCTGTTTGTTTGAAGGACTACGGCCCCAAGAGAGACGAACATTCTGCCCACCCAACACTGTTCCATTTAAGCCCCTCAAAGCCTCTTCTGCGCAGCTCCTAATGCATGAAATATCAAGACACAAATGGTAAGGCTATCTATATATAAGCTAAGGGCATGGATTGACATTACAAGACAACTTTCAGAAACAAATTTCCACCTGTCAGCAAATTGAACAAACCCACATCGCTTGCCTGCTGGAATCTTAACATGTACCTAACTCCCCATATTGGCCAAAAACTTGCCTAAGATGATCATCCGTTACATTAGGATCCAAATTCCCAACAAAAATCTGCAGATTAAAATTTCAGTCACAACATGCAGGGAAGAAAGTAAAAATTCTCTACTGCAAAGAAGTACGCACAGTTGTATTATTCGGATCATTCTCGTTCTGTGCCCCTTGAGGATTCTGATATGAAGCTGCATGACCAAAGCAGAAATGAAGTAAAAAGATGAATTGCTTAAAAACAGGGAAGGAAGCAGATATCGAGAACCACCATGATCCATAATCAAAGGAAATCAATGAACACATTTAGTTGCAATATATAACATCTAAGCTCATAAGTCACAAACACTGTATAATTCTTAAAGAAAGGAAAGCATCTGCATGCACGTAGAGCAATTTGAGAAGAAACAAGCAAAACAATTTGTTCCATAATCACACCACATTTCTTAGGAACTGTAAAAATTAATCAGCATTAAATCATTGTAGAAAATAAGCCACTGTCCAATGAAATATAAACTAATTATCTAGACTATCTAAATTAACTTAAAAGAGTAACTTCAATGGCTATATCTGCTACAAAACGCCATGGCAAGATATTTGGCCCGATCAGAATTTGATATATATGGGATAAACACGCAATAAAAATTAGTCGCCTCCCTAATTGAACATTAAGACGTAAACGAGAGAGAAAGAAACAGAATTTAATTCATACATAGCTGACACCAACACACATCATTGATCTAGCTCACCTTCACATCTCTTTCAGACCTTCCAAAATACAAATAAAAGATAAAAATGGATTAAACTTGCTCTAAAGATTGGCAAGAAAACAGCAGCGAAATGTCTGTGCAGACAAGAGAACTGACAAGTGGAAATAGCAAACAGCAATATAAAGTGAGATTTGATTGCATACTGCTGTGCTAAAATGGTAAGGGCAGAATGGAAACAGAACTTAGAAGTCAAGAAAAATTAAAAAAAAAAAACACATGATAAAAGAAACAATAGCCGGTCCGAGATATTTCTGGCAATTCCACTCCGTCTGCAATAGCATTTCACAAATTAAGTTATTTTCTCATAGACTGAGGACTGGAAGCGGAAATCAATGTAACTTGAATGAAAAAGATGATCAAATGGAGAAAAAAGGTACAAAAATATTGTTCACAACAGGGGATTGCTGCAAAAGAAATTTAATGTAGTCCTTCTGGTAAGCTATTAGGGATGAAATTAAAGGAACAAAGATAAAGAATGGCGGACTGAAAAAATTAAGTATCCAGAGTAGTTGTGCAATGTAATTGGCTAGAACCAACCAGTGAAATGAACTGAAAAGAATAACTTGAAAATTGCAGACGGAAAAGAAAAAGAGACCAAAAATAATGGGCAAGACATAAACGGGAACTGACCTACACAAGGCCATGCACTAAAATGGTAACCATTTCAGCTGATGAAATCGGTTCCAGGCTCCGAGATGACAGAGCCTCTCGACACCCTGCTTTGAGACAATAGGAGTTTTATAAGATTTGATAATTTATAATTATAGATCATTTACTTAGCCCAAATTTTTAAACGAAATTACAGGAAGAAATGACTTTGGACTGCAAATCTTCAAGAGCGTAACTGAATGAACCATAACTTAGGCCGTACATGACAGAAGAGAATTAAAACTGTAAAACCTTAAGCAAACCCACATAATGTCAAAAAACTGCAAGAACAGTCTACAATTATTAACATAAAAAGAAATCCAGTCTACTATTCCATCAAGGGCATATAAAGCACAGACATTTGCAAAAAAGGCCACACAAACGACAACTACGAAAGAGACTTACCTTTTGGCTGAGTGCCAGGGTTTTTGTTGGTGGCTGGTCCAATCCGCATGGGTCTTGTCGAACATAAAACACCTTGCATCTCAGTCATAGCTCGCATTTGTTCACTTTCATCTCCAAACCTAACAAAACCATAACCCTTTGTCCTCCCAGTGAGTCGATCGATCACAACTTTTGCACCTTTAATTGAGGGATACCTAGCCCTAAATGTCTCCTGCAGCATGTAATCGGTAACATCTGAAGCTAAATCTCCAACGAATATCGTGTAATCTGGAGTATCATCATGCCGCCTCTCACCCGAACTAAAAGTTGCCCAGTTCAATCTGAAGGTTTGCCCACCATTTGGCATAATGGTTCCGTTAAATGTTTGAAGTATTCTCTCAGCGGCTGCGCGTGTGAAAAACTCAATAAACCCATAACCTTCAGATTGATTAGTTTGCTTGTTTCGAATAACTTTCACCGAGGCCACCTGCAAAAAAAATTCTTTTCCTTCAGCAATAAAAAACCAAGAATGGCCACCAGGTTTCTACACATTGCAAGTATAATACTTAAATAGCCCAAAATCAATGTTATTTAACATCAAATTGAACAGCCCGTACTGGGGGGAAAGACAAATCCTAAGAGGTTCGTCCCTCATATATGGGCAAGGGAAATAAAAAAGTAGGATCAAAACCAGAGAAAACCAAAATATTGCAGCTGAAACCCGTACGGCTGGCGCTGGAAAATTAACAGAAGCCTAATTGTTAGCAGGCGGACAATACTTATCTCCAACACACATCGACGATATCATACACTACGAAAAAAGAGCGACCAACATTCGCGGCAACTTAAAAACGAATAACAAGAAATAAAAGAAACGGAGAAAGGGATTTTACCTCGCCTGTATGAGCAAAGCAAGTGTACAAATAGTTCTCGTCCATCCAGAACTGCAAATCACCGATCCAAAGAGTACGGACCTCATCGGCGGTTGTGGGCTGGACGGCTTGGGTCGTTTGCGGTGGAGCGACCGACTGTGGCGGTGGTTGAACTGAGGGAGGCCACATCGGCGGCGCCTGAGCCTGCGGTGGCATCATCATGTAGGGATGTTGCTGCTGCGGATACTGCTGCTGGGGAGGCTGTTGGCCCATGGTTGGGGGAGCCATGCCAGGACCAGGGTGCATCATCTTGACTCAAGGAAAGAGGTCTGTGATTTAGAGAGAGAGAGAGAGAGAGAGAAGCAAAGAGAAAAGAAGAATTAGGGCAAAGGAGGTAGGGCTCCAGGCGTGTCTTTTATGGACAAAGGCTCATGCGCAACGCTAACCCTAAAACGCAAAGCTTCCCGCGGTCGGGATTCGTTAGACGTCAGTGATGGGCTGATGGCTGGCAAATGGGACCCGCATTGTTATTTTACGAATGAAAATTATAATTACAACTATAATTATAATAACCAAATTTATTTACCCACACATCATTGGATGTACGGAACATGATAAAATTAATGCAGTTCAAATGGCTGTAATTATTAATTTAGTTTCTCAAATTAAATTTTTATTAATTTATTTTTTTATATTTTTTTAAAATTATGAGTCTATGATATCACTTCTTTAAATTTTAAAATATAAATTAATTTTTAATGTGTAAAATATATTAATAATTAAATATATATTTATAATTAAATTAGAATAAATTAATCTTTAAACTTAGTTTAAAATTTATCAATATAATTTTCCATGCTGTGTTTTGCTTTTATATTTTTAATTTTAAAATATGTTTTTTTAATTAAATAATTATACTTATTTTTTTAATTTAAAAGGTTTCCATCAATAATTTATTGTTCAGGTAAGTAGATTTAACACTTTTATTTTTTTTAAATAATTTTTTGGCTACTATCTTTTCTTTGAACAATAAAAATAACTTAATCATAAAAAATTAAAATTGAGTAATTAAATTGATAGTTGAAAAAAAATTTAAAAAACTAAAAATTATATTATCCTTTTATAAATATATAAAAGATATAGGAATAAATTTAAATTTTAGCAATATATAGATATGTTTTATATTTAAAGTTAAAACTTCTCTTAAATATATTTTCTCTGTTTAAAATTAAAAACATTTTTTAAAAAAATTAAATTTTAAAAAGAAAAGATATTTTAGTAGTTCAAGATATAATTATTTTGTTTTTCTTTTAAAAGAGCATATAATAAATAAATTATTTTATATTTATTTATAATAAAATACTTTATTAAATAGAAGTAAATATAAAAAAATTATGTTAGTTTAAAGATAATTAACTACTTTATTAAAATATAAAATTTAATTAAAAATATTTATATTTTTTAATGAAGAAGAAGTATCAATCTAATATTTAAAATATTGTTTAAAGAAAAGAAAGGCCATTCTCTAAAGTAGGATGAATATATCTCCCCAAACTGTAGTAAGATATACTTCTTCCGTTTTAAAAATATAAGGTATTTTTAAAAAATTAGATGTTTAAAAATATAATATATTTTTTAATTTTTTAAAGTGTAATCATTACTTTTTTTCAAAAGTGCCTCTATTAATAATGATTTTATATTATTATAGAATATTTAATAAAAATAAATATAAAAAAATATGATTAATTTAAAATTAAATAATTATTTTATTAAAAATAAAATTTAATTTAATTAAAATATTTTATATTTTTTAACAGAGGAGTAGAATTTACAACCTCTATACCTTATCATTTACATTTAAATATGCGCGCGCGCGTCAATACTTGGCAAATATATGTCTATATATATAATATATATATTCTGCTACCGTTGGATATCATTTTTTTTTGATCCGGCTGTTGGATATCAATTACTAATGCATCGATAAGTTGAAACTTCACTTCTGTTTTCGTCTAGAAAAGGAGAGAGAGCCTGCTAAAATCTGGTAGACGATTCCGACCAATGCCAAATGCGTCCTCTTACAAAAGCTGCCCGTGAGACTTCAATTCTTTTAGTAGTCTAGATGGTGTGATTACCAAACAAACAACCAGAAACATTGTTTAGATGAGATGTGCTATTACATCAAATCAGCAAGGGAGATTATTTTAAGCATTGATGCTTGATTCTTATTCTCTTGATTTATCTTTGAATATTGCATACGAAAATTCTATTCAAATGTTCTCATAAAAAATAGTTTAAAAAGACATATAATTAGATTTTTTCATAAACATGATATCTTAATTCTTACAAATTCCAGATAAAATTCATAAAATACATTTTTTTCATAAAATTCAATAAAAAATAAAGGTTCAAATTTATATAAAAATGTTGAGATGGATATATAATGCACAAATTAATAAAATCTAAAGTGACCATATAAAAGAAAAAATGAATGTTGCATTTATTGAGAGTAAGATGATAAAAAAATCATTTAAAATGATCTAGCCATATATAAAAATGTTATGAAAAGCATTAGTAAGAAAAGCTGAATGAATAATCATATGTCCTCAAGGGTAGAAAAAACAAACATTTTTAAAAGTTATTGAGTGAAACCTCTTAATTAATAGTATTCTAAAAAACTAAAAAACCACTTATAAAGCACAGGAACATTATCTAATTCATGTTGTCATTCCTGTTGAATCTTTTTAACTTTATGCTATAAGAAGATAATCTTATTGACGTTTAAAACTCCACCATAAATCTCTCTAAATTTTAAATTTTTCTATTAGATTAGATAACTCATTTGTTGTTGATACATGTATGTTGGCAACTTTGCCAACTTGTGGTCCATTTGAGGCCATAACCCCAACTTGCCCCACTTTCCTTATAAAAGAGCAAACCAGACAACCTTTCCTTTTTCAACGCGATGCAAATATCATATCTAGCAGCCAAACACACACAAAAAGTCATCATATCAGATTCAAAAACCATCCTTCCATGGAGCTCCCATCCCCTCTCCATCCTCTTCCCTGGCAATACCTTTTCCCTCCTCAATTCCTCTTTCCACACAACTTCATCCCTCCAAACCATGTTCACTGGACCCAAACACCAGAATCTCACATTTTCTCTGCTGACATCCCTGGTATGTGCGCGCGCGCGCGTATCCATGACTTGTTCACTGTTTTTTTCATGTTTGGTTGATTTGTGTTTGTGCGTGTGTTAGGTGTGAGGAAAGAAGAGCTGAGAGTGGAGGTTGAGGATTCGAGGTACCTCATAATCAGAACTGAAGCAGCAGAGGAATCCACAGAGCCTCCTGCTAGGAAGTTCGTGAGGAAGTTCAGGCTTCCAGCTAGGGTTGATCTTGAAGCCGTCTCTGCAGGCTATGAACACGGAGTCTTGACCGTTACAGTTCCAGATCTTTGAGGAGAGGTTTCCTCATTGAACCTTCTGTGCCTGACACCACGGAAGCTCTTGCAAGAGCTGCTTGAATTCAATGATTCTTCTTCCTTTTGTTCTTAGATTTCTGGGAAAATCAGCAGCCTCTGGTTCTTGTCATGTCTCAATTAGATATGGATTTGGATGTTTATCTCGTCACTGTTATTTTCCAGAAGTGACATTTAATTTAAGTCCTCATTTCATTAGCTTTAATCTTCTTTTTGTGTGCATGTGTGTGCGTATGAGATAACTAAGAAATAGTGATTTGACATTCAAAATCTGAAGAAATAATAAAGCAAGATAACAAGAAAGACTGACGTGAGGGAAACTAGAAGGAAGACCATAACATCCATTGGTAGTTGTTTGCCAATCGGTATCACTTTCTTTTTCGCCGTCACAAGAATTAGAAAAGAATGGATAAGAAATTTGATTTCCTAACATACCCTCCAACCACCTGGCGGCGCCGAATGAAAGGAAAAAGGACCCCCAATAGATGCAGATATTTTGGGCGGCCATCCGAATAATGAATGCATTAGGTTACTCAAAATGATTACAATTTTCAAAGTAATAAAATATACAATGAAAAATAATATATACTGAAAGACCCCTCATTGTTTGTGTAGAAAGAAAGAAACCAAATATTAAATATTATCAAGTGACAGTTGCGTGACGGCCATATCTTGCTCGAGAATCACGATCAGACTTTTTTTTTCTTCTAATGCCTTGACGACGAACAATGGTAGTATTTGAATTGAGAGGCACTAATTTCTTTTCTCCGATTTAAATTGTATAAAAATCTTCAGTTACAGCAAAATGCAGTAACTAAATAGGATTTAATGATAGGAAACTTGTAATAGCATTATAACACTTCTCTTTGTTTCAATCAAAACATATCCAAAACAAATCAATAACTTATGAAACTTGAATTCACCTTAATATCAATATATCAACAAGAAAATTTAAAAAAAAAAAAAAACAAAAGCGGATCAAGAGAGTAGTTACAACTACAAGACAATCATTTATATTTAACATTTCCTTTTTGGTTGAATATTCAAAAACTATATCCAGTTAACAAACGATTAACCATGTTTGTGATCAGGAAATCAGCTAGATACCTCAATCATTGAATCCACGAGATGTACACAACGAACAAATCAAAGTAAGACGAAGACTTGTTTCCTTACAAATATCCATCTGTTGCACGCTGTGGCATGACGACAACACTTTAGGCACTTGTTATCAGTTTGAGAATCCCAGCAGCCTCCTTCAATCTCCTCTCTCTATTCTCTTTTATAACTGCACTGGCAGCTCTTCCATTTCTGCAGTTAAGCAAATAGGTCAGAGAATTTAGAAGGATAATCGAAGTTCCCAGTTGGTTCTATCTCACCTAACCTTTGAAGAGAGTAGCTAGGGGGTTTGCTTTTAACAAAATTTCAGTTTACTTTTTAAGATATTTGCATATGTCTACTAACACAAAAAAAACTCTAAATAAATCTTGCTTTTCCTCTCCGCTGAAACCCAGTTCTGACCTTTTCTCGTAGATTGCCTTCCGTGTAAGCTCCTCAACAAGAGCATGCAGTCGTTTTACAAGTGCAGGTAGCTTGCGTAACGATTCAACACCTTTAGGAGTGGAAGATATCTTCATCAGAAGTTCAGAAGCAATGAAGTAACTGTCTTCCTTATTCCTGGAGAGAGTTAAACGGTTAAAAATTAATTGTAAGGGACAACTAGCAAGACGACAATGATTTATCAACTTTTAACGTCAGCCAATACTAGATCGAAATACCTTAGTAATTCCCAGAGAATTGTCTGTAGAGAACCGTTGCTTTGGATCAGCAAATCAAGTAAGTGAGGGTAGCGAGCCAGATTTCGGAGACTTGACAGAGCATGCTTGAGAACCTCCTGATCAGGTATACTTCGGCTCACTGAGCGAATAAGCGTCAGCAACTTATCTATAGCCCCTGCGGCAGCAAGTTCTTCGCAACATCTCTGAGAATGTTCTGTAGCCATATCTGTGGAAAAGCTTGAAATAATAGAGTCGGGAGATAACTTCTTAGGCCTGATCATCTGTAATGCTCAGTTAAATAATCCCATACGATAACAAGAGTACAAAACTAGATGACAGTACTAGAATGTAATACAACATCGTTGAAATAAAGCACTTCCCACGTTAGGGGGTAGTAGGAAAGAATCAAGGCACTCCAAATCACAGGCAGTGGCACAATAAATTCTAGGGTAACTT